GGTAGTCACAACAAAGCCAGCACTATCCTTGCTCTTTAATCTCTCAGTAAAGACCTGTATCCTGGAATCATGTTCTGAATTATGCATCAAGAAATTAGCCAAGGTCGTCATCGGCGCTCGATACTTAGGGTAGACTCCATCTATTGTCTATAAAGACGAACCTCAGAGGCACTGCCCAACAAGGTAGGAAGAACAGCGAGCCTGTGACAGCAGACACATCAAACGCACATTCCAGGAGGCTTCGCCCTGAAAGAAACCTTGCACAACGAGCAAAGAGCTCACCCTCCTCCCTCTCCCAGAAAAAAACTGGAGCATAAGCAGGGTTCCAGGGAGCACAACAAACCTAAAACAAGGGAGATTCACCAGACTCAACATAGAGGCTCTTGATAAGGAAGATCCCCGAATCTTTTGAGTGCATTTTGCTGCTCAAATCTTAACGACCTCATCTCCAATGAATGCATTCCTCATCTGATCTCCATGACGCTAAATGCATTCCTCATCTCATCTCCGTGACACTGAATGCATTCCTTGAGCTCATCTCCATAATCCTTTATGCCGGATCTGATCTACATGGCAGTGAATACAATCATCCATCTGATCGTCAGGATCTATACGTATATATTAGATCCACATACCTAAACACACACACAAAAAAAAATAAGAAGGAACATTGCAGCAGGCCTACTGGCCCATGCGAGGCAGGTCCAATTCACCCACCGGCTTAAGCCAATGCCTTAAGGTAGTCAGGTCAAGTGACATTCACTAAGGAAAGAGCACGGTAACTGACCTAGTAGCACAAGCTAGTCAGGTCCAACTCACACCCACTCATGTATTTATCTAACCTATTTTTAAAACTATACAACATTTTAGCCTTTATAACTGTACTCGGGAGTTTGTTCCACTCATCCACAACTCTATTACCAAACCAGTGCTTTCCTATATCCTTCCTGAATCTGAATTTTTCCAACTTAAATCCATTGCTGAGAGTACTGTCTAGGCAAGATATTTTTAGCACGCTATTTACTTCTCCTTTATTAATTTTTTATTTTCATTTATACACCTCAATCATATCCCCCCTAATTCTACGCCTTTCTAGAGAGTGCAGATTCAGGGCCCTCAGTCTCTCCTCATAGGGAAGATTTCTGATACATGGGATCATCTTTGTCATCCTCCTCTGTACGTTTTCCAGAGCATTTATATCCATTCTGTAATACGGTGACCAGAACTGAGCAGCATAGTCTAAATGATGCCTAACCAAGAATTCTGTTAGCTTTATTGCGAACAATTATGCACTGTTGTCTTGCTTTCAGATTACTACAAACCAGAACTCCTAAATCCTTTTTGCAGTCCGTAATATTAAGATTCACATTATTTAGTTTATATGTGGCATGGTTATTGTCCTGTCCAACATTTAGAACTTTGCATTTGTCAATATTAAACTGCATCTGCCACTTCTCCTACCATTGCATCAGTCTATTCAAATCATCCTGGAGTGCTCTAGTGTCCTCATTAGAATGAATTGGACTGCCTATTTTGGTGTCATCAGCAAATTTGCTTATGTCGCTATTTATTCCCTCATCTATGTCGTTTATATAAATTGTGAATAACAACGGGCCCAACACTGACCCCTGTGGAACACCACTCGTGACGTGCCCCCATTCTGATTTCTCCCCATTGATGCAAACTCTCTGCTGTCTATCTGTCAGCCATGCCTCTACCCAGGGAAAAAAAATTCCTCCTATTCCGTGTGCCTTGAAGTTTCCTCAGTAGCCTCTGATGTGGAACTCTATCGAAAGCCTTACTGAAGTCCATATACACAATATCATATTCACACATACACACACACACAGTGGGCAACTGTGACGAGCGGGGTTCCATAGGGGTCGGTCCTAGGACCAGTGCTATTTTTGGTATATGTGAATGACATGATGGAAGGGTTAGTCTCAGAAGTGTCCCTGTTTGCAGATGATGTGAAGTTAATGAGGAGAATCAAATCTGATGAGAATCAGGAAGGACTTCAAAGAGACCAGGACAGGCTGGACACCTGGTCCAGCAAGTGGCTTCTCGAATTTAACCCCACCAAATGCAAAGTTATGAAGATCGGGAAAGGGCAAAGAAGACCACACACGGAGTATAAGCTAGGGGGCCAAAGATTGCAAACCTAGCTCAAGGAGAAAGATCTTGGGGTGAGTATAACACCGAGCACGTCTCCGGAAGCTCACATCAACCAGATAACTGCTGCAGCATACGGGCGCCTGGCAAACCTGAGAACAGCGTTCCTATACCTTAGTAAGGAATTGTTCAAGACACTGTACACCGTGTATGTCAGGCCCATACTGGAGTATGCAGCACCTGTTTGGAACCCACACTTGATCAAGCACGTCAAGAAATTAGAGAAAGTGCAAAGGTTTGCGACAAGGTTAGTTCCAGAGCTAAGGGGAATGTCCTACGAAGAAAGGTTAAGGGAAATCGGCCTGACGACACTGGAGGACAGGAGGGTTAGGGGAGACATAATAACGACATACAAAATACTGCATGGAATAGACAAGGTGGACAGAGACAGGATGTTCCAGAGATGGGATACAGAAACAAGAGGTCACAATTGGAAGTTGAAGACCGAGATGAGTCAAAGGGATGTTAGGAAGTATTTCTTCAGTCATAGAGTAGTCAGGAAGTGGAATAGCCTAGAAAGTGAGGTAGTGGAGGCAGGAACCATACATAGCTTTAAGATGAGGTATGATAAAGCTCATGGAGCAGGGAGAGAGTGGACCTAGTAGCGATCAGTGTAGAGGCGGGGCCAGGAGCTGAGTCTCGACCCCTGCAACCACAATTAGGTGAATACAATAGTCAATTAGCAAGAACTCATTTAAAATTAAATCCTTTCTAAAATTTTCTCTTATACGTTTAAAGAATTTTTTTCATTTATATTAATGTAAAAATTAATAATTTTGCACCAAAAGAACGTTAGAAAACTTACCTAACCGTATTATAACAAGCGCAATTTAACTTAGCGTAATGCAACTAAATATATTTTATATAAGTTTACATTAATTTAATAATAAACAAACACAATTAATTTTTCTTCGTTAGGTTCAGAATGATTTTTTCGAAATTATTGCATACACAAATTTTCGCTTGTCTTATTCGACAAGAAGTGTGTTGCTATTTAAGCCAAAATCGCAAGTGTTACTTATTCGGCACAATATTTATATATATGCTAAAGGAGCAGGCAGGAATAACAGGAAAAGCACTGCAATGAATCAGGGAATACCTGACAGGAGGGAAACGAGTGATGGTCGTTGACTAAGTGTCGGAATGGATGCATGTGACGAGGGGGATGCACAGGGATCAGTCCTTCGTCTGGTGCTGTTTCTTGTATACATAAATGACCTGACAATAGTCAGAGATATCCTTGTTTGCAGACGACATGAAAATGATGAGAATACAAACGGAAGAGGACCAGGAAAAGCTACAAAGGGATCTGGACAGGCTGCGTATCTGGTCTGACAAATGACTCCTGGAGTTAACTACATTAAGTGCAGAGTCGTGAAGCTTGAGGAAGGGCAAAGAAGACCGTAGACGGAGTATAGGCTCGGGGGCAAAGGCTGCAAGCCTCACTCAAGGAGAAGGGCCTTGGGGTGAGTATCATACCGAGCATATTACCTGAAGTGCACATCAATCAAATAAGTACTGCAACAAATGAGCGTCTGACAAGCCTAAGAATAGCTTTATGATATCTAAGGAGCCATTCACTGTACTACGTGTACGTCAGGCCCATATTAGAGTATGCAGCACCAGTATGGAACCCACACCTGGTCAAGCATGTCAGGAAATTGGAGAAAATGCAGGGGTTTGCAACAAAACTAGTCACGGAGCTAAGGGGGTATGTCCTATAAGGAGAGGTTAAGGTAACGTAATCTGACGACACTGGAGGGCAAGAGGAATAGGGGGGATTTGATAACGATGTACAAAATGCTGAGGGGATATTGACAAGGTGAAGAGAAACGGAATGTTTGAAAGATGGGACACAAGAACACGAGGGCACAACTAGAAGTTGAAAATTTAAATAAGTCATAGGATGTTAGGAAGGATTTCTTCAGCCTTAGAGTTGTCTGGAAGTGGATCTAACTGGAGGCTGAAGTGGTAGAGGCAGGGTCCATACAAAGCTTGAAGAAGAGGTATGACAAGCCTCTTGAAGCTGGGAAAGAGTAGACTTACTAGCGACTGGAGAAAAGGTGGGGCCAGGAGCTGTGAATCGTCCCTTGCCACCACATATAGGTGAATACACACACACCACACACACACACACACACACACACACACACACACACACACACACACACACAAAATACCCTTCTTGTCCTATATAGATAACATGAATCAGCTCAGAGAAAATAAGCCTACCGCTCCTACTACCACACTCAGAGCTGTCACCTTCCCTACCACCTCCCATCCCACCCTCCCACCCCTCCACGCCCACACTCACGCCCACGCCCCTAATAGTACGCTAGTAGTATAAGAATTTAGCGTGAAGGGAGATCGCGGGGTCCTAGTTTATTGATTTGACTTGTTGACGGAGGCGCAGACTGTGTTGTGGAGGGAGGCGTGGGTAGCCGTGAGGGTAACTGCCCCTACACCTGCCCAGCTACACACAGCAGGGCACCGTGCCTACAGTGCCACAGCAGCAGTAGAGTGAAACACTAGCATTTCATTGATAGAGTACAGAGTTCCTCTGACGTCATAGCCTAGCTGGAGAGATGTTTGAACCTGAAATTTTACCTACATTAAACATCCCCGGGCTGCTGTCTAGTGGATGATCCATCCTCATCCACACCCTGCCCTGGACGGCTGCAACGGCTGAGGGAAAAGGGAACTGCATGGTGAGGGGAAAGGGAGAGATGGGAGATAGAGGAAATAATGAGGATAGAGTGCGTGTGGCAAGGGTGGGTAAATGTGACGTCACAGCTGCGCGTTGCAACATTAATGGTTGGTGGGTTGGTGGGTTGAGGCGCAGTCCTAGCAAGGACCTCGTAGTGTGAGGGACGCTACTCGCCCGCTCTCACCTCCTCTGGGAGAGAAACACCCTTTTTATATTTATATTTAAGTATTCTTTGACGTGTTTTATTTGGTGAACATTTTGCAACTCGTTTGTTATTAAAGTTCTCAAAATTACCAAAAGGAAAAAAAAGAGATAATAGTCTAAAGGTCACTTGGGTAGAGGAGAGGAGCAGCAGTAGCCACCACAACCACTACTACTGCTACTACCACTACCACCACCACTACTACTACTATTACTACTACTACTACTTCTACTACTACTACTTCTGCTGCAACTGCTACTACTACAACAGCATTAAGATTTCTCCCCAGCCCCTCACACTTCAGCCCGGTCAGCGCAGTGGCCCACCAAACAAGGTAAATCAATGTTTTTTACAGTATGGACAAGTGCCAAAACTCGTACCTGAACAAGTGCCTGGTCAAGTGGCACTCATACATAACCTCAAATACTCTACGGACGAAATGAAATAAAAATCTTGAGTCTTGACAGATAGATATTCTAGTATCATCTTAGTCTGTGGATGCTGGTGAAGGTCTCTTGATCTAAGCAATAGGAGCTACCCTAGCCCTGGGATCAAACCTGCATGACCCCCTGCGGGTGTAGCGCTTCCACATAGAATGATATAGTTTCTAGTGTAAATAGTGACACTTAGAGTTGCTACACACTGACTCTAGTTAGAGGTGTTGACTACAAGTCCCAGAAGCGAGTCTTATTTGGGTCCATATGGTCCCAAGACCACTGGAAGATTGCTGTTTAAATAGACAGAAACGCCCAGTAACTCCTCCCTTCTCTCCTCTCCTCACCCCTCTCCTCACCCCTCTCCTCACCCCTCTCCTCACCCCTCTCTTCACCCCCCTCCTGGGCGGTGCCTGGCTAGAGAATGCACAGTTGCAAGCTTTCGTTGCTCCGTTATATTGCATGATGTGCACGAAGGTTCCAGGTGTTGGTGGTAGTGTTGGTGGTAGTGTTGGTGGTGGTGCTGTGTTGGTGTTGGTAGTGGTGCTGTGTTGGTAGTGGTGCTGTGATGGTGGTGCTGTGTTGGTAGTGGTGCTATGTTGATGGTGCTGTGTTGGTGTTGGTAGTAGTGGTGCTATGTTGGTGGTGCTGTGTTAGTAGTGGTGGTGCTGTGTTCGTAGTGGTTCGTGGTGCTGTGTTGGTGATTTGTTTTTCTTGGTGTTGGTGTATGTGGTGGTGCTGTGTTGGTCGTGGTGCTGTTGGTTGTGGTGCAGTGTTGGTGGTACTGATGGTAGAATTCACGTGAGCAGGGTTGTTGTTCATGTTGATGTATTGGCACTGTTGGTGGAGATTCTGGTGGGGCTGTTGTTGATGATTCTGGTAAGGTTATTGTTGGTGGTAAGACTATTGTTAGAGGTTCTGGTTAGGCTATGGTTGGAGGTTCTGGTAAGACTATTGTTGGTAGTAAGGCTATTGTTGGAGGTTCTGGTAAGGCTATTGTTGGAGGTTCTGGCAAGGCTATGGTTGGAGGCTCTGGCAAGGCTATTGTTGGAGGTTCTGGTAAGGCTAGTGTTGGAGGTTCTGGTAAGGCTATTGTTGGAGGTTCTGGTAAGGCTATTGTTGGAGGTTCTGGTAAGGCTATTGTTGGAGGTTCTGGTGGGCTGACACAGTGGGAAAGAAAGTCAGCTGACTTGCACAGTAATATTCCATCAAGCAGATGGTCATTATACAAGAGTGTTCACTAGTGTCAGCCTGACCTGGTAGACTTCACTAGTGTCAGCCTGAGCTGGTAGACTTCACTAGTGTCAGCCTGAGCTGGTAGACTTCACTAGTGTCAGCCTGAGCTGGTAGACTTCACTAGTGTCAGCCTGAGCTGGGAGACTTCAGTAGTGTCAGCCTGAGCTGGTAGACTTCACTAGTGTCAGCCTGAGCTGGTAGACTTCACTAGTGTCAGCCTGAGCTGGGAGACTTCAGTAGTGTCAGCCTGAGCTGGTAGACTTCACTAGTGTCAGCCTGAGCTGGGAGACTTCAGTAGTGTCAGCCTGAGCTGGTAGACTTCACTAGTGTCAGCCTGAGCTGGGAGACTTCACTAGTGTCAGCCTGAGCTGGGAGACTTCAGTAGTGTCAGCCTGAGCTGGGAGACTTCACTAGTGTCAGCCTGAGCTGGGAGACTTCAGTAGTGTCAACCTGAGCTGGGAGACTTCAGTAGTGTCAGTCTGAGCTGGGAGACTTCAGTAGTGTCAACCTGAGCTGGGAGACTTCAGTAGTGTCAGCCTGAGCTGGGAGACTTCAGTAGTGTCAACCTGAGCTGGGAGACTTCAGTAGTGTCAGCCTGAGCTGGGAGACTTCAGTAGTGTCAGCCTGAGCTGGGTGACTTCAGTAGTGTCATCCTGAGCTGGGAGACTTCAGTAGTGTCAGCCTGAGCTGGGAGACTTCAGTAGTGTCAGCCTGAGCTGGGAGACTTCAGTAGTGTCAGCCTGAGCTGGGAGACTTAAGTAGTATCAGCCTGAGCTGGGAGACTTCAGTAGTGTCAGCCTCAGCTGGAAGACTTCAGCAGTGTCAGCCTCAGCTGGGAGACTTCAGTAGTATCAGCCTGAGCTGGGAGACTTCAGTAGTGTCAACCTAACCTGGGAGACTTCAGTATTGTCAGCCTGAGCTGGGAGACTTCTGCAGTGTCAGCCTGAGCTGGGAGACTTCAGTAGTGTCAACCTCAGCTGAAAGACTTCAGCATTGTCAGCCTGAGCTAGGAGAATTTAGTAGTGTCAGCCTCAGCTGGGAGACTTCACTAGTGTCAGCCTGAGCTGGGAGACTTCAGTAGTGTCAGCCTGAGCTGGGAGACTTCACTAGTGTCAGCCTGAGCTGGGAGACTTCAGTAGTGTCAACCTGAGCTGGGAGACTTCAGTATTGTCAGCCTGAGCTGGGAGACTTCTGCAGTGTCAGCCTGAGCTGGGAGACTTCAGTAGTGTCAACCTCAGCTGAAAGACTTCAGCATTGTCAGCCTGAGCTAGGAGAATTTAGTAGTGTCAGCCTCAGCTGGGAGACTTCAGCAACGTCAGCCTCAGCTGAAAGACTTCAGCATTGTCAGCCTGAGCTAGGAGAATTTAGTAGTGTCAGCCTGAGCTGGGAGACTTCAGTAGTGTCAGCCTCAGCTGAAAGACTTCAGCATTGTCAGCCTGAGCAGGGAGACTTCACTAGTGTCAGCCTGAGCTGGGAGAATTTGGTAGTGTCAACCTGAGCTGGGAGACTTCAGCAGTGTCAGCCTGCACCGGGAGAATTTAGGAGTCAGCTTGCGTTGGGAGACTTCAGCAGTGCTACCCTGCGCTGGGAAACTTCAGCAGTGTCAGCCTGCACTGAGAGACTTCAACAGTGTCAACCTGCGCTGGGAGACTTCAGCAGTGTCAGCCTGCACTGAGAGACTTCAGCAGTGTCAGCTTGCGCTGGGAGACTTCAGCAGTGTCAGCCCGAGCAGGAAGACTACAGTAGTGTCAGCCTAAACTGGAAGCCTTCAGTAGTTTCAGCTTGATCCGGGAGACTTCAGTAGTGTCAATCTGAGCTGGCAGACTTCAGTAAGACAATGAGGATGTCAAGCATTCCAGTAAAGGGTCATCAGCTACGACATCTTCAAAAGTTTACTTCCAGCAGAGCTGGAGTTACTGTCACCTGGGAATTACCTTCTCTTAGCAATTATAGGAAAATTAAGCACAAAGTGTTTAAGATAGTGACCACAGGACTGACCACATGCTTTGTATTTAGTGCGATCACCTGTGTATCTGCCAAATTGCCAGAAGTACTTGTAACCAAGCCTAAGCCTGGCTACTGCAGCATCAGTCAGTACTTGTAACCAAGCCTAAGCCTGGCTACTGCAGCATCAGTCAGTACTTGTAACCAAGCCTAAGCCTGGCTACTACAACATCAGTCAGTACTTGTAACCAAGCCTAAGACTGGCTACTACAACATCAATCAGTACTTGTAACCAAGCCTAAGCCTGGCTACTACAACATCAGTCAGTACTTGTAACCAAGCCTAAGCCTGGCTACTACAACATCAGTCAGTACTTGTAACCAAGCCTAAGCCTGGCTACTACAACATCAGTCAGTACTTGTAACCAAGCCTAAGCCTGGCTACTACAACATCAGTCAGTACTTGTAACCAAGCCTAAGCCTGGCTACTACAACATCAGTCAGTACTTGTAACCAAGCCTAAGCCTGGCTACTACAACATCAGTCAGTACTTGTAACCAAGCCTAAGCCTGGCTACTACAACATCAATCAGTACTTGTAACCAAGCCTAAGCCTGGCTACTACAACATCAGTCAGTACTTGTAACCAAGCCTAAGCCTGGCTACTACAACATCAGTCAGTACTTGTAACCAAGCCTAAGCCTGGCTACTACAACATCAGTCAGTACTTGTAACCAAGCCTAAGCCTGGCTACTACAACATCAATCAGTACTTGTAACCAAGCCTAAGCCTGGCTACTACAACATCAGTCAGTACTTGTAACCAAGCCTAAGCCTGGCTACTACAACATCAGTCAGTACTTGTAACCAAGCCTAAGCCTGGCTACTACAACATCAGTCAGTACTTGTAACCAAGCCTAAGCCTGGCTACTACAACATCAGTCAGTACTTGTAACCAAGCCTAAGCCTGGCTACTACAACATCATTCAGTACTTGTAACCAAGGCTAAGCCTGGGTACTACAACATCAGTCAGTACTTGTAACCAAGCCTCAGCCTGGCTACTATAGCAACAGTCAGTACTCGTAACCAAGCCTAAGCCTGGCTAGTACAGCATCAGTCAATACTCGTAACCAAGCCTAATCCTGGCCACTACAACATCAGTCAATGCTTGTAACCATGCCTAAGCCTGGTTAGTACAGCATCCGTCAGTACTCGCAACCAAGCCTAATCCTGGCCACTACAACATCAGTCAGTACTTGTAACCAAGGCTAAGCCTGGGTACTACAACATCAGTCAGTACTTGTAACCAAGGCTAAGCCTGGCCACAACTACATCAGTCTGTTCACATAACAAGTTGCTCCTTAAACTTATCCACGTCATGTTATCATAGTGGGTTATAGATCTACTCAGGCTTTTAACTGAATTCCTGTGACATTCACTTTCATTATTTACTTCAAGAACATTATTATTCCTACTGCTAGACACAGAACAAGGGTATATTCTTCATTTTTCTTCAGGGTACTTTTCTTGGCTACCGTATCAAGTTTATTAGTGTGTAACCGAAGCCATAGGAAATGTACATTAATTCCTTTTCCCATCAGAGATATTGAATCGCATTTATATATATATATATATATATATATATATATATATATATATATATATATATATATATATATATATATATATATATATATATATATATATATATATATATATAAT